CATACTCTGAAAAATTATACTTTAGTAGCAATGGCAACATTATCAAAGGTTCTTTACTTAACATTAAAAAAAATGAAAACTTATTAAATATATATATAATTTTATATTATTTAAATTTTTTAGGTAATAGTAGTATGCATAAGACCTAGAATGCGTGTTGTATTAACTCATCCTTTATCTGGTGCTCCTATAGCACCACCACAACTATCTTGGCAACTTGTTGTTATACAAGCAGCAGATGCTTCTCGTGTAATTGATCCTGTTTTAGCTCTTGCAAGAGATGATGTGGTTCATTTTTATCAAGTATTATCATTTTATATAAGATATAATTTTTTTAATTATAAACAAATTTATATTAATTAAATTTACTAGGTATGTACTGAAGCTGGTTCAAGAGTAAAATTATCTCCCTTACGAAGAATGACTCTACCCTATACAATAAGTAATTTACGATGGTTAAATCCAAGATCATTGGCTGTATTAGATACTCAAGAAAGATTACATTTATTAGATGTAAGAGCACAGGATAATTTGGAAACATTAGATATGAGTCGTGTTGGTATTTCTTATGCATCTAGCCATTTTAAAGGTTTGTCTACTGGTGGAAATGTTTCAAAGGTATCACTTAATTAAATTATTATATTAAGTAATTATTAAATTTAAATTATAATAATTATATTGTTTTGATTTATTATACATTATATATATATTATATATATTTGTTTGAATTATAGGCAATGGCATTGGCTGGTGAACGAGCATGTTATAATACTGTAGTAACATTTGGTACTCAACTTTTACTATTAGGTACTAAAAGTTTACATGTAGTTTGTATACGAACATGGACTGAACGATTGAGACATTTGACAATGCAGGTTTGTATTGAAATTATATAATTTTTTATTTTATTACATTTTTTATGATTTCAGAGAAGGTTTCCAGAAGCATTAGCATTAGGACTCTCTTTTTATCAAGATAAAGGAAAAGCAGTTGTTGGTCTTCGTGGTTCAAAGCAACGTCGTAAACAAATAGCTCGTGATAAAGTATGTCAAGTTTTGATTCAATATATGGAAGAATTGAATCATTGTCTTGCAGACGAAAATGCAGAATTTGAAATAGTCACAACTTGTGTAGATTATTGTATACAATTAGAAAATACAGATTTATTATTTGGAAAATTATGGGACTTAGTTTCGGAATCCGAGGGATTAAAGGCGAGTTATTTACATGCCCTGGAAAATCCATTATTGGATGGAAGTTTACGACCGCGATTACCACCGTTAATTGCTCAACAATTAGTTACGCTTTATGACCAAGAAGGAAAAGTAGATTCACTTCAAGCAATTATAGTGTTATTAGATGTTGATTGTTTAGATATTCACCAAGTAAGTAAAGATATTTATATTTTCTTAATATTTTTATATTTCTGAATAAAATAAAAAAAATTATTTATAAAAATTAGTTCTGAAAATATATATAATTATTTGTATTTAAAAATATCGTAGGTAACGACACTTTGTCGGCAACGGGGTCTTTGGGAAGCTTTAATACATCTTCAAACGACAGCATTAGGTGATTTTACTGCTTCAATTCATCAATTAGTACCGATATTGCAAAGTATGTTAACGAATTCAAAAGATTCGTTAACTAGAGATAGTATACAACTTGGCAATGCACTTTTAGTTTATGCTAGTTGTTGCCTTGCTGGTCGTGGTTTTCCTCGGGATGAACTCCCTGAGGGTATGTCTCAGAGAGCAAAAACAGATGTATTAAGAGCATTACTTTCACAGCATTCAAGTTTGGCTAATGATACAGAAAGGCAATATCCTTATCTCAGAACTTTACTACAATTTGATGCAAAAGGATTTCTCGATGTGATAGCAATTGCCTTTCAAGAACCAGAATTTACATCTGAGATGGGTCTCAGGCAACGGCAAAGACTTATAGATATACTATTAAATATTATCATGCCTAGTACACCATTAAGTCCAAGAAATCCTGATTATATTACTGATGAACAAAGAAATTTAGTTCTTATATTTATAGCTAATGAAGTTACAGAAAATACCGTTACTTTAGAACCTAGTATGTTAAATAAAATGATAGAAATATTATGTACTGATTCAAGTATGGGAACATCAAAAGAGCTTAAGACTGATAAAGAAAATGCAATATTAGGATTATTGCGTTCAAAAAAATTACGTAATATATCGG